CCGTCGTTCTTGCGCTACCCGCCAGTCTGCGTTCTGCTTTGTTTTCACGAAATATGCTGTCAGTTCGAGACAGATACTACAAGCGTCAGAAGTCGAAGGCTTCGTAAGCACAGAAGCGTTGTTCTTGCTCCTTCCTGCTATTCCAATTATGTGTATTCACTGCATCACATCATTGTCACCGCTTGTATCGTTGATTCAACCTCTTTACCGCCTCTCAGCCCATTTACTCGTCGCCTTGAATGTATCCATTTTTTCACGGCTAAATGTTTACTTTTCCGAATAAATGCAGGATTAATCTTTTCGTCGTCCTCTTATTGTGGTCTGTTTTTTTCGTCATCGTGTTTTTTTACAGGGATCCGTACTAAGTCGGGTAGCAAGGTTGACATCTAGTTTTCTTGTCAGAAAGCTTAAGGTTATGCGTATGTTGAAGTTATAGCTGCCCGACGTATATTCGTCCACTTCGAGTTGCAGAATAGTGCGTTGTAAAGGCTAGCTACCCGGACAAGCAGACGTGTCGTAGGTAGTTGTGTCGGCAAGAGAAAGTTCCCCAAATCACAAGTCTGGTGCGACAGAATTGGTAGGAACAGTTTTACTGCGGGAAGAATAACTGTACAGAGGTTGTATCACCGGCCAGGTGTGTCTGACAAGTTGTATTGCTTTGGCCGCGCGACCTTTTGCTCTCTCGTTTGCACAACCAATCAGCTGGAGCAGGTGTATCGATTGTCACCAAGCGTACGCGTATTTGCAACAGCGAATGCTATTTGAAAGGCCGACGTGAATTAATTAATTACGCGGGCTGCAAATCATGGCCGACGAAGACAGGATGAGTCGCGCACAGTTGTGCTAGGCGGCAGGCTCCTACGGACGTTTCTTTGACGAATAATCAGTCCCGGGTCGGCAATATCACTGCTATTGGTTTGCGGATTTTGGCGCTATATCTTCGCCCTCGGGTGGACACTGAAGAGTCTTCCAAGTCATGAAGGCAGGCTTACTAGGGTATTGTTTACTTTAACAGAAGGCTTAAGTCGCTACACAAAGTTTCTATCACGCCAGAAGCCGGTCATTATTCCGCCGGCACCGGGTTTTGGTCGTGCACCGAACCACGCACGGCGACGGTCAATCAGTGAAAAGCAGACATCGTTGCCACGCCGA